CCTGGCAGTGCCACATTCCAATTCCAATTTGATCATTCCTCCCCTGAAAGTTTCTTTTGACTGTTTACTATGTGCCATCCATGCAGTACAGCAAGCCCCCTCTCAATAATTTTGTGTGAGTCATGTACAATCATCATTCTTATTTTATAAAAGGAAATTGAAGCTTAGAAGAGTGTAGTAAATTGTCTGTGGGCACACTGTTCCCATGTGGTAGAATCAGGATTCAGACCTACATGGTCTGACTCCAAAACCCATGCTCAAGGTCTTGCCACATACCATCCTCCTCTGCCCCCAGCACTGTAGCCATGGTCACCATGTGATATAAAGTCCTCACCGCAGTGTGTGATCTGAATATGTGACTGCTTTTTCTCTACTGTCATAATCCGTGGAGGGAGGAAAACTAGTTTTTGTTTATTCCTTTCCCCCTTTACAGTCCTTTGCTGACTGGTTGCTGAGGTGATGACTTCAGGTTAAGGATGAGGAAGAGCCTAGAATAAAATCCCAGAGGTCAGTTCTCATTAAAATACAGGTGTGTGTGCCTTACTTTAAAATAAGTTAAAAGCTGTTCTCGACAAAACAAGCACTACATGGACATGAAACTACTATTTTTCTTTAAATCACATGTTATCTCTACCTGCTTTTGAATTTAAAACAACAAACTTATATTGAGCACTTTAAGTATGTGAGCCACAGTGCTGGGTACTATGTGGGGAAAGATGAAAAACAATCCACCCTCTGACTCCAAGGAGCTATGGTCTAGTAGTGATGAAGACAGACTTCAGATGTTAGTTATAAACCAAGTCAGAATTAGATGTAAACAAACATTCATTGTAATTGGATTATGGAAGCTGGCTGGGAGGACAGGAGAAGACATTGGAGATGGGACTGGTAGAATGAGTAGGAATTAAAGAGCAAAGTGTGAGAGGGCAGTTGATATGGGCAGAGGTAAGGAGGTAGGAAAGTTTGGAACTTTCAGGGTTCCAAGTCACGTAGGGCAGCCAGAGTATGAGGAAGTATGTCAAACTCCTGAGAAGTCACCCATCAAATGCCAGTTGAGTGAATGCCAATTCTTGAAGAATCAGTTCACAGAAATCAATTAAATGAATTTATCTAATGATCAATGTCTCTAACATTGTTTTAAGAAATATTCAATTTTAACATATTCAGTAATTATAAATGTATTTTTAAAATAAAGCTAATGAATATGCTCTTTTTACCAGCATTTTAAGTATTTATGTTCCATTTCCTAAAACTAAGGACCTAATCTTCTTAGGGCTATATTTTATGAATATATTCATAAATATTTCCTGAGTATGACCAATGTTTACAGTGGCCAGTTTTTTAAAAAGTGGACCTGGCCATGTCCTTCCTAGTCAGTATGATAAACTGACAGATGAATGGTAGAATTATAGCCAGAATGCTTCTTGAAAGAGAGAATGGCCAGACTTCATCTCACCCACTTTGTTCATGTTGTCAGAAGGGATCATTCCCTGCAGAAAGATATCATGCCTGGTAAAGTAGAGGGTCATTGAAAAAAGGAAAGACCCTCAACAAGATGGATTGACATAATGGCTATGATAATGGGCTCAAGCATGACAACAATGGTGCAAGAGTGGGCAGTATTTCGTTCTGTTGTACTTAAGGTTGTATGAGTAAGAACCAACTCAATGGCACCTAACAACATCATGAATAATGTATATATTTTTCTTGTGAATATAATAACAATTACAAAAATTCATATGGGAAAGTTTCACTTTATATTATTATCCTTTTAATTTTTTATAGTCAAATCCTCTTCGGCCGATTTATTGATATTTTAAAATCTCTTTCCTCAATTTTACTGAATGACAAATTCACTAAACATACTAAACTTACTGACTTACCAAAAGTTAAAGGAATTTATTCCTATAGTTGTTATAACTGTGTTAACTGGGTGGCAGAAATTTTTAAAGTTTCACAGATGATTTCAAAAACCAAACCAAACTCACTGGCACCCAGTTGATTCCAACTCATAGAGACCCCCAATGGGTTTCCAAGGCTGTAAATCTTTATGCAAGCAGACTGCCTCATTTTTCTTCCACAGAAGCAGCTGGTGAGTTTGGACCAATGACCTTTGGATTAGCAGCCAAATGCCTTAACTACCATACCACCAGAGCTCCACATAGATGATTTATGGGATTAACGATGCCTTAACCTTAGCTGTGGCTTCATTAAGTTGTTAAGGCAAGAACCAGAGAGAGTAGAGGTAGGGAGGGGCACTAGGAAAAGAGAGCAGGAGATGCAGGAGAAAAGGGGAAATGTGAAGGTCCAGAAGGCTGGTCCTAGCACCCCACAACCTCTAGATCACCTCAATTAGTCCTACAAATTCTGAAAACACATTTTCAGTAAATTGTTCCATTTGGCAAATTGTTTATTAGGTGAATTATTTATTTTTGGCAGAATTATCTTGGAGGCCATTTAGGCAGCTCAGGGATATGGGTGAAGGTACCCATGAGTGACAGCAGGTGGGAGTGACTTCATCAAAACTGAGTTTTAGAAAGATAAGATGCTTATATGAGTCATTACTGAATGAAGAAGTTAGGTCTCTTCATGTGGTGTGAAGAGCCATTATAAACCACCCACCACCACCACCACCATAATTTGAGAAAGAAACACCTTTAGGGAAAACACTGAGGAAATTGCTTTTACCTAAGTGGATAGGGGCTTAGAATGAATTATGGAAGATGGTTAGTCTAGGACCATATGAATCTACTAGACATATTGGAATTAAAAATAACATTCAATATCTCACAGGGAGTTGACTTCATATATTCCCTTGAGGACAAGGACTATTTTTAATGTAAGCTTAGAATCTAATGTTTTCACCAGTGGGGTGGAGAGTGGTGATGAAGAGTAAAAATTAGTGATTTTGCTTTAAATAGTGTGATTTTAAAATGTACATTTGGCATTATATACATCTATATATATGTATGGGAGCTCTGGTAGCATGGTGCCTGGGGATTCAAATCATACAAATACACTTATAGGACCATTGTCTGCCAACCCTATACATGGTCTTGCATACACTCCCCACTCATAGACATACCTAATAGTTCAGCCTGTCCACCCATCTATCCACCCATATACCCATGTTTGCCTTCACTGACAATGCAGTACTGTATGTGCAAA